TGTCGTCCGTAACCGGGATATCCAGCTGCAGGACTATAATCTCCATCGTGTATGCAGCTCGTTTAACTGCCGAAGCACGACTGCATCAGGTACCGAGACGCTCCGGCCTATTATAACCACACTTATTTAATTCTGTTGCAGGTAGCCTTGATTTTATGTCGACGCCACCTAGCGGATTTTACTGAAATAAAGTGAAAAGCTGGCGTATTTTTACAAAACTTTGAGCTCATTTATTGCTATTGTTATTAAATTTTTTAAGATAAAAACTATACTAAAACCATCTAGGAAGTATCATGAATCAGTGTGCAAAATTTCAGCAAAATCGGTCCAGTAGTTTTCGCGGTTAGCGATTACAACAGTTTTAGCGAATTTGCTTTATATATTAGTAAGATTATGTAAAATTTGTATGTAACCTCAAAATACAAGCAGTTGATGCTTGCCTATGCTTTCAACAGAGGAAACGAAAATGTATGGCTGTGTTTATTTTAATATCTTTTCATTAAGTCCGTGAACATATATATTTCGAGATGGCAGTGTGTTTAGTATTGTATCAGCTTCTTTCTTAATTATGTTCAGTAAATAAATAACTAGGCTACAACTTCCAGATAAGTAATGCTTAGTTGCCATAAGAGCACATGTTTAGAATTCAGTTTTTATTTATCATTTTGTTGCGTTTATACTCGTCAGCCAATTCTAAAATTTGGAGGAGTGTACTGTAACTTAATAAATGATTCCTTAAGATTCCATGTTATTTTGTTCATTATCATTTTATGAAAAAACCATCTTAATGGACGATAACAGGTATATTTACTTGACACTTTGTTGTGTCTTAATACAGACACATTTAGCAAATGTTTGATAGGATATGGGCTATTAAACTCTGTCACTCACCAATATTACATGTCATATTGTATGAGAAAAGAATTTCTCAAAATATATTCTACCACATGAGTCTTTTTTAAAAACCGTCAATAAATATATAATTCAAGTTGTCAATCACAAGTTATACTCATTATCAAAATCACTAAGGTTGAAATGCAGCAATTGAATCCAATGATAACGTACGAAGCAATCTATGGGGACGATTGTCCATGGCTTCTCGTACCCTGTCGTAGGTATAAGCTCTAATCAAATTTCATCCCATGAAGGTATAGGTGCAAGGATAGATTCTGACGATTCAGCAGCGAGCTAGCTATTCATTGATGCTAACGTTGCACATGATGCAAGTGAAGTGGAAATATGATTTGTCAGTCTCACTATTACATACTGCAAAGTATACTTATTACATACTTACGCATGCGGGCATAAAAATATGAAGACAAGCATAAGTGATTAAGGAGAGATAAAATACAGCCGTATCTTATGCCCTTATGAGAGTATCTATGTATGATACTCTTTTTCTGTAAAATTGAAGTTTGTTTTGCTTATTTTTAAGCCATGGCAGATCATAATCTGTGTATACTTATATTTTTGAACTCTTGTTTTTTCATATATTGCTACTGGTACCATATGTACCTCTTTTGATTGACAAATAATATTTAAATACATTCGAAAGCCTGTTAAATAATACAGGTGAAAGCGTCATACCAGTAAGGAGTGGCTTTCTGAGCAAGTTTTGAGGGGGAAAACACTTTCAGCGTTAACGTATCTATCTTTTTCTTATTTTAAGTGTGGTGAGCCATGGAATTCATTCTTTTCCTACACTTCATACCCGGGTCCATCATCTAATTAATTATATACTACCACGAAAATTTCACGCCTGTTTGAGCACGAACGTGAAAGAGATTGTGCTTGGCGATTTCAAGGGATATTTTTGAAACACCAACAAACGGAACAAGGCAACGCAGACTCCTAAAAAGGGATCCACCATTATAAAGCCAGCGGAAAACACCTTATTGAAAAAAAAAAATACGAAAACAAGAATCTCAAAGTGATTTAACGGTTTTTACCATCGAAAAAAAAAATTACATTAGCAGATGCAGAAATACGTTACGCAAATTTACCACCTGGTATGCGCTTAAAAAAACGAAGTGCTGTGCCTTCAACTAGTGTGGGTGATGCAGAAAATGATAAGTTACTCAAAGCGAAACGTTCTCTTGTATCGACGGAATGTTTATTCAGTGCCTCTCCATCGGATTGGATCTCTAAGGTCCTTTACTCGTCTTATTTAGATGACGAATTATTTGAGGAGTTTGGTTTGCAATATAGTACTGGAGGTGTGTCTACCAATCAGGACGATGTGTTCATGAGTATGGAGAAGTACCAAGCCTTTTTTGATAGCATTGAGATACCAGGTATTTGCATTATTCGTTAGTCCTCGGTTAAAAGGGAGCACGAGATAGCAGTTGTGAAATCACTTTTCTTTTAATCGTAGCATATACATAANCCGAAAGCTAAAAGGGGCATTATGTGTAAATTGGTAGTGTAGAAGGATAAATCCTTCATTTATTAGTGAGCCATTGAGTGAATGTTGAATAAATACTGAAAGGGACATAAATGAAGCCAGCCTAAGTTATAAAATATTAAATTTTTTTATTATTTTTCTGCTCATTTGTCCACAAAACAATTGCATTAATTGTACGAGGCACAAATTCTTAAGCGAATTGTACATTACTTTTTCTTCTATTTGTTTTTTTAGATTATTTTGTTTCAAAATTACTTTATTATTTTGCCACAAAGTAAAAAGGGGCTATGTGACCATCGGTCACTCCTACCAAAAAAAATAGAAAATTTTTTTTTATCAATTTCGACTATTAAAAATATAAAATTATTATTTAGTGTTTAAAGCTGCCGCCGATAAGTAGAATATGCAAATATAGCGATAGTGTGCGTCATGAAGTGCAGGAGTAGAGGGAAAGAGACAACAACATTCTACCAATGATGAGAGTCCGCAAATTTCCTCCTTACGAAGCAATTGCCGAGCCGCCGAAAAACCGAGGTTTGCTGTACGATCAAGATACAGCCACATCAGATTCTAGCTCTAGATTCTCTGCCTAGCAGGTCAAAGTACCTTGCTTCTCGGGCTTCTAGACATCTCACAACACTGGCCTATAGCGACGTGCTTGGTGAGGCATTGTGTCCGAGCCTTTCGCGTACACATTACGCCAGCTATTTTTTATATTCTTGTTATTCATTAATTATTGAATCATTCTTTTGATAATTCTTTTCTAACGGTTTTCAATTAATTTATTTATTTTAAGAATAGCGTATTGAACTTTACGATTGTTCAAACACTTTAATAAGTTTTCATGCGAACGAGCGTCTTATGCCGTTTATGTAATTCGAGCCACGCGCTCCTGTGTATAAAACTTGATTGAATACATGATATTTTCGATTTGCACGTTATTTCGCATATTAATTGCGTTGAAAAACTATTTATATGTACTATGACACCTTTTACGAAGTTGTAACGTTAGCCACCATAAGATAATTTATAGGTTTGCGGGTAAGGGATCCTATTACCTTTCCTTTAGATGTTTGATATACTCGTAATATATTGAGTATTGACAAACATCTAAATTTTCCATAGTTCCTATCTTTTCATCTCTACATGGGGCATTAGAAGGGCTGGAGATAATTCTTAGTTTTATTTCATGCATTAAATAGAATGTTATGGTCTAGGTAAGTACCGTGAACCCACGACTCCTTTATAGTCAACAACGTGATTTTCTCCTCGGTAATTAGCCGTAAATAATAACGAAAACGTCACATATTAAATTAAACGTCACATACATTGAATTTGTATTTAAAGAAAGAAACAGCATGTTTTGTGATGTAAGTTATATATAAAGTGTTATTAAAAGATAACATTCAATTTGCACCATAAAAAAAAAACTTGAAGTAAGTTATTTATTGTACTCGAAAAGCATGTTAAAACTTCTATGGAGTTGATAAAAATATTTTTAATATATAATATATCAAACCGGTATGTATGTACATTATTAAATCTTAGGTTTTATCAAAAATTTTAATATCTAATTAGGTAGGCTTGATATTTTTTTTACACAAAAACATATTATTTTGCATGAAGGGTGGTGTTTGTCGACGATGAAAAATTTCCGATATTTCTACGGCACAGGTCCAATAAGACGTTTCTGTTATTTATCTGTAAGTTTTTCAAACAAATACTTAACACAAGTATGTCCAAAAAAGAAGTAGTACATCTGTATAAAATAGGATATTATAGTAACATAGGCTTTCTTTTATAATGTTGTTATGTACGATAGCATATAATTATGCGTCTGTGAGCCCTTCCTCGTTCGGGCCCTAAAGAATAGAAGAGCAGGGTAGATAAGGAGATATAGGAGCTTGGAGTGAGGGGGTAAGAGCTATCGGCAATTAAACACTACAGATAAAAAAGATACTTGGAAATTCTGAAAATTTGTTTTCAGACTAACGAAAATGGATTATGAATTTAATCTAACATACTTAAAAGTCAAAGTTAAAGGTTCTTCATGCTCTACTGTATGACGTTACCAAAAGCCCTGTATGATGTAAATAAAAGGAAATATAAGACAGCTAGAAAATGTGTTATGACTAAATTTTAAAAAATTTTGTTTTTTGCTTTTGACTCCAAAGTTCACCTTTTTATGTTAGAAGCTTTTCTTATGGTGTTATTCGTATGATCTACACAAAAAAATTTAATTTCAATTGGAGGAAGAGTAGTACAACCTAATCTAACTTTTTGTCGAGATTATAGGACGTAGAACTAACACTGAGTTAGTAGATTTTAAAAATATACAATATTTTAGTAAATATAGAATACGATGAACATTATCATTAAAATTTATGTGTCCGTTGTATACGATATATTTTAGTTAACCAAGGCTCTCCCAGGCTAGCAAGCCATGGAAAAACTGTTATACACATCTAACATAATAGTCAACTAATTATTTTCTAAATTTTACGACTATATCTTGACTTTTCTGTACTTCAGTCAATTTTTTAGTTGAAAAAATAACTATTGAATAAATTGATTGTGTCAAAAAACTAACACTTACGTAGTTATATTTTTAAGAAGCCTTTTATCGTCCAGTAGTTGTATGATGGTGCACCTTCTGAAACGAGTGAAAAAAGAAAAAATTTATTAAGACAAGTCATCATTTGTAAGCATCAAAATAAAACCAACTTAGATCAAACTAAATCAACTACATTACGGAACAAAAGGCCGAAATACGATATTTTTGCATAGGATGCAGACATTTTATTTCGAAGTCACGTATATTTTTTTCCTTCTTTTAATCGAAATATGACATTCCTTCGTGGGCTTCAGGGTTGAAAGTGCAACAGAATCTCTTAAGTAACAAATGTATTTACTACTATCCCAAAAATAATGTTAACGTCTTTTATGTGAAAATTTTTTCCCGAGTCGAATGTTAGAGTGGCAAACACATAAAAAATAGCAATTAAAAATATTCCTGTAAGCAATGAATGTGGTTTTTTACCTGGGAGCAAGTAAGGCACTTTCGTCCTAAGAATCAGGAAAAAAAAAACGATACTTTCGGTGAAAGTATCGATAAAATTAGCTTTTTCAATGAAATGTATGCGTAAAAGAGAGAAACGATAGTACAGTAAAATCATGGATTAATTTTGACGCTACGTAAGTTTATTTACTTATGCAAACAGTTGATGACTTCGATTTCCGACTAACTACCAGGCTGGCATATCTATGATATAACTTGCATACAATGCAAAATTCACTGTGCAGTTTAAATTTTTATTTCAATCCAAAAAAAAGTAAATATTAATAAATACGTTTGAATAAACTAAAATAGATAAAGGTTTATGAATGACTCTGGAGTCAATATAGTTGACAAAAAAAAAATAAATAAAAAAAAAAAAGAAGGGGTATATACTACAAGTACAGATGTATTTTATAAACCACTAGCAGCCCCCCGTCTCGGCTTCGCCCGAGACTTACTAAATGGAACACCGTAGTGTGTTGACATGTAATGTGAAACGTTTTCAGTTCGAAATTTTACATAAAAAAAAAAAGAAATA